TGTAAAATAATGGAAATTCACCCCCCTAGAAAAATTCAACACTCACATAATGAAAATTAATCAAATTAAACATAAATTATAAATATAATAATTAGATTAAATTTTTTTATTGAATCTGAAAATTAAAACAAGAAACTGAAATTTTAACTTTCAATTTAAAAGTTTTAAACTTATTTTTCAACAGTTGGGAGTACAAATATTTCCTATACAATCTCATCCTCTTAGTTCTATTCCATATTTGCACTAATTCATTGTAATGGGTAACCAATATTTCATAGTTCATGTTTTTTTGTGCCATTGAACAATTAAAACATAAGTTCCTAAAATTATTTCACGAGAAACGATCTTACTAGGCATCGATGCTCAACAATAGTTATATGACACATCGATTAATTGGTGGATAAATTTATAGTGAATCTCAATAATTAAATTAAATTTGCCGAATTGATGTGTAAAGTCACTATTACTTAATATAAATTAAACAATGGTGCTCAAAAATAATTTCTTACCACTTCTAAACTTGTTTTTACAATGCGCCTTTTGGCTATGGTTTTGGAGTAGTTTTAGCCCCCGTTTGATCTACATTATTATCTCATTACAATGAAAAATATGACCGTTATACATTACATCAACATTTAAATTCAAAATTTATATATCTTATGTGGGCTTCAATAACGGCTATATTTTCATTCTCATTCTACAATAATTTGACTCAAACAGATGTATATAAAGGGCATTAAATGAAGCGTGTTTGGCTAACCTCAACAAGTTTACTCATAGTAAATAAATAAAGTTTAAAATAAATAGGTTTTTATTGAGCAAAGTAATAATAATTTAATTACAGAGTGCAGTAATTTTGATTGATTCGGGTGGGATTTGCAGTATTCTTGGAAATATGAAAGTAGTAAAATTCTTTTTTTTAATTTTTTGTAGATAATTCGTGGACAGAAATGGCATTAAAATGTGACAACTTGCTTGCACTGGGTGGCAGGCCTCTGTGCACACGCGTGATGCGTGAGAGAGAAGAAACAAAAAATAAATCGCCGTTGCCGGGGATCGAACCCGGGTCACCCGCGTGACAGGCGGGAATACTCACCACTATACTACAACGAC